CAATCGACGCAAAATCGTAGCACGATTTCGTAGCCATTATGCTATCATTTTGAATTACTTGTATCTGCCGTGGCCATCCGATTTTTTCCGATCCGGTCCAAGTTCGAAACTTAAATCCCTAAAAGAAAAATACTTATTGTTAGTGTTTGCGAACACGTTGATGATGCCGTTCCTAGAAAAAATCCTTGAGAGATCCTGAGTACGAAGTGGGGATTTTAACAAGTTTCCATTTTTCCTGGTGAAAATGCTCTGCTGCACGAGTAAGTAGCAAGTTGGCGCATCACGGTGAAAGGTGTCACTCGCGTGAGATCCTAATCTGTCGCGTTACACAGCCAGAAATCCTATTGTGACGTGGCTCGTTCGTGCCCATTTTCCAGAAACGCTCCTTAGCAAACCCGGTAGCCTAAACTGGCCATTATGAGTGCCGAAAGAATCGTGCCATCTCCCTTTCCTTTTCTCCGTTTTCCTGTCCGCCAAACATTATAGGCCATTATTGCTAGTCCCTTGCGTCGATCAATGATACTCGATGGGACTGACACGTCTTCAGTAATCATTGAAGTCGCCGAAACAGGAGATCTTGTGTACTTCTTGTTACAAACACTGTCATCTGATGATGACATTAATTAACAGTCTTAGACATTTAAATCATCTCCATTTGTAAATAGTATCAACATGGTACGTGATGATTCTATGTGCGAAAGTGAGTAGACGAGGAAGATTAGTATTTTTTCATTCTTTCTTCGAAAGAATCGAACTTGAAAATTTGTCAATCGTCCCTTTTCAGGGACGAATTTCTTAAAAATGAAGAAAAAATGATCGAATCTTTTGTTTGATTGCGTTTTATTTATTCATTTTTTTTTTCATTGTTAAAGGAGATTTTGTAATGAATAACTCTCCAACAGATTTTAATTATTTTTTTAATTCAAAAAAGAACGTACACACATGCGTCAGTGTCCCTGAAGCTAATTTTTAATTGAACTTGTTCACATTCTGAGCCGTAAAATGAAAACATTTCGTTCATATACAGGATGAGCTAGATGAAGCGTTACAAATTATTCTCTTGAGAACCGTAGCTATTGACAAACTTCTTTTCTTAAATTCAATAGCATCAAGGGACTTGAAATGTGCACAACGGCACAAGGAGTACTATACATAATAAAAATAGAAATATTCTGCGTTTAAATGTTCAAAACAGTGATCATTCGTTTCTAGACAGTTGTTTAATCTTTGAATCATATTGTTGAACTCACGTGATGGTCATTTTAGTACCATCGAATTAAAAAAAAAATTGTGAATATGATTCTTGAGAAAGTAGTTTATCTAGAAAACTGCATATTTCAGTTATTTTTGCACATAATTTCTTCCTTATCTATTATTCAAAATCACGCCAAATTCAAATATATTCAACAAATTTTCAGACGCAATTTTCTCGAAAACGAAGTCTCAAATGAAAAAATGTCATTCTTGTATCAATTTATTTTTTCATGTAAAATCACCTTTCGCTCGATTGTACCTAGATTTTCATATACTACAGGTATACAAAGATCATTTGTTATTGTCTAGCTTCTTAGTATTTCGAAGAGGATCTTTCTTTTATTAATGTTCAAGTGTAACATTCAAAAACACAATCAAGATCGTGGAAACGTTAGGGCGTTTAAATAAATCTCTGCTAGCTTATCCCATATTTTTGGGTTTTGCTCGGGTCGCGGATTATCCGAAGTATGCGGATGAGCAAATCTCTTCGTAGAAAACAACTGTTCGGGAATTAGTAACCTGCAAGGTTACTTACCTGCAAGGTACACGCTTATCCATCTGCGTGATTCATTGATTTTTATGGGCACACCTAGTTGTATTCGTCACCGGCAGGTGGTGGAGTAACCGACCGAAGAACGAAGGTCTCTGGCGAAATGTTCTTAGATATCTCTGATAAGGGAGCATTGAAATCTTTTTAACAGGAATTTCATATTCTGTGAAATGTTTCAGCGAAGTGAACAAAAAAATGCGCAACATGTAGAGAGCTCAGAACCTAATAAGCACAAGTCAGTTTTATTAAAATTGATTTGCGCCACGCAAATATCCTTTTGTTGACGATATCTTCGATAGAACAGTTCAGAGATTACAATATAATTTTTATTATTTATTATTATATAAATTCATACTTTTGGCAATATAATTAAAAAAAATAAAAATCTTACAATTAGTAAAAAGTTCTATGTAGTCACAGTTATATACCAATTATTACAGAAACTTATACATTGGATATTTTGCAGTATATGTTTTTTCAAAGTAATAATATAATTCTTCTAATTACTAAATGTTAGAGTATAATAATACATTATTAATCTAATTATTATAATCGCTAATCTATTCCGCCAAATAAATATCAACAAAAGGAAATTTTTAATAAGAAATGACTTACACTGACTTGATTCTCTATAGGTATAATCCTCGCACATTTATAAAATGAGAAAAGAATTCAATATTTTGATGTATCATAGTGCCGCATATTTTTTACTTCAATATTAAATATTTCATTAATAAAATATCATTAATAAAATTATTACAAAATATGCTCGTTTCTCACTGATATAAAACCTTTCTATTCTTTTCTCTCAATAAAAAAAAGCTAAATTGCAAAGTCGATTGCATGAACGACTTGAAACTGGGTATTCGGTTTTGAGTTTAATGCTGCAGCAGAAGACTGTGAACTTCTTGTCCAATTAAACTTGAGATTGATAATCAACTATCTTCGCGAATATCTTGGAGAATCACATTTATTAAAAGTGAATACTGTACAAGTTGAACGCTGCACTGTATCTAACGAGAGTAAAATGTTTCTAACTGAGGATTACACTATTTCTAATTTGAAGAACAACTGTTTCTTGACTTGAAGAATAAACGTTTCTAAGTTGAAGAGTAAAATTGAAGTACAAATGTGTCTAACTCGCACTTTTTTTGATCCACGCAATGCTTCTGGGCTCTGGTTTCATAAACATTAAGCAAAAGCATTCAAAGAAATGCTCAACGGAATAATTTAAATATTGTACACTAAACCAAGATTCAGCGCGTAGAAAACATTCGATATTCTTGCGTTGACAGTTACATAATAAATAGTTGAGAAGCGATTCTATCACGATTTATTGTGTGGTATATACCGAGAAAGAGACACGAATTCACACGTGTGGCGACGAACGTGTCAACGTTACTTGAGACTAAAATTCAATCGTACATTGGTAATGCCCGACGGTTCTTCTAAAATGACTATAGACAACAAGGTCCTCGATGGAAGTGTGAAATGTGTTTACAGCGTGAAGAATACGAGGGTGAGAATTGGTTGGGAAAGCGCACTGTCCAGGGGCGTATCAGGGTGAGACGCTTGGTCGGCCAAGCGTCTCGGAGAGTAGCGCGGTCGCGCAAGACAATTGAAAAAAATCACTTGTCTCGCCCTAAAAGTAGGGAGAGTAGACCCCATTGGATGCTGGAGCGACAAGTAACATTGGGTGATGAGAGGGCAATATCCGTGAGCGGTAGTCCGTTAAACGCAACGCCCCGGGTTCGAAACATTGTGGTTCGCCTCCGGAAGTTGACGGTCCTACTATTTTCCGCACGTGCACTGGCCACGATTTCTTGACAGATATATATTGATTCTTAATGATACTTGAAAGAAACGTGTTTCTGTCAATATTATAATGTCAGGTGCGATAACGTTAGAAAAAAAAAAAAAAGAAAAAGAAAGAATGTCCTATGGGTAGCGTTTTTTTAGTGGTACATTATGGGAAAATGATTTTTTTCAGGTTCGTACAGCTGGAAGTGGAGTGAGGGGGTGGTTGGACGCTTCTCACGAAACAAATAATTGGTTGAAGTATATTCGAAGCACTAGCAGTCCGCACGCCGTTAATATGCGACACGTGCTTATTGGTGGACAGGTAATGACCGATAATAAAAAAAAATAAATAAATAAATAAAAAATTTCCGCATAGTATAAATATAATAAAACACAATGACTGCACGGTTCGGCTTTGCCGGTGGTTTGTGCAACGATCGCAAGTTCCATTCGCGACGAATGTTTCCATTTTCACCTGCGACCTTCGATAATTGTTTTACAAGTCGATATGTAGTGACTTGGCGCGTGGCGTTCGGTATTGACCACTAACAAATTCGGTTTCGAGTGCAACTGACACTGAATCGACAGTTGCAGGAAGGAATAATTACACGGTATCAGACGCAGTTGTAGTTTGTAATTTTACGTTTGCCAGCGAAACTAATAAAAAAACACGCGCCCACGCTGCCATGTTTCCGTGACTCGCTAATGAGACGACGATGGAACGGAAACCGCGACCAAGTTTGTAGATTTACGTTTAGATTTGTAACTGCCAAATACAACTACTTCCAAATTTTCATTCTCTCGTTCTTCATTCGCACGCAACTACACTGGTCGCCAAATTTATCTCGACATACGTAACCAGTACGTATTCCCTCGAAACTGGGAATTTTTATCTGTTTAACGATCTGTTTAACTATAGCCATTTTCATTTATCAAGAAAAAATATTCTTCAATAATCTTCAATATAAATACGTTCGTTATCAAGATTCAAGTACCTATGCCTACTTAATTCCTATTAAGTGAACTTGCAATCTCATCTTATTTTAAATTAATAATTGTATTATACATACGTATGTCGTTATCACTTGAAGATTTATGTATTCCTTTATTGTCCCATTATCTTTTCAAAGGAATTCGATTATATAAATTGAATACAAATACTCCAATTATTAAATTAAAATTGAAATTCGAAAGTCCAGTGTTAGTTCATTGTGTTCAAAGTTTTTAAGAATCGTAGAGAGTCACTATCGTCAGTAGCGATCAAGATCAATTGGAGATCACGAGGAGAAGGTGTATCATTTTCAGTTAAAATTATTTGACGCGCGTGGGATTCATTATGGTCGTATTATTTCTCATTAAAGTCATTTAAAAATTATTAAGAATAAGATCAATTAAATTTTTAAATAGATTTAGGACAATAATTTTGGATTCTAACTGGACGATATATCTATGTTCATTGTAATTAGATTGCGAACTTTTATGCTGATTTATATTTTTGAAAAATTAGTTGAAGAAGAAAACAGAGATTTGATTTAGCTATCATCACGAATACAAAATATATTTCCCCTCATTACATGAATTCTATTTTTATATACTCTTTTTATCTTTTCTCACAAATGCATAAAAATTCGCAGTCTAATTGTAATTGTATCTAACAATAATTTCATGGAAAACGATATTACGTCTCAGCGAAAGAGTGTTCTTTCTGCGACCTTTGAGGATGATTTTCCGTTAATCGAGAAAAGGCATTGGAGGTCACGGTGTCAATTTGAGATTGATCCTGACCTCCTGTCCTTTGGATTTTCTATCTGTGTGAACGGTGGCACGTGGTTGTTGGCTGCGTTGTGGGCGCTCCCTAAGCTACGTGTATACAGGGTGTTTAGTTATTAAGTCACCCCACGGGGTCGTTTCGGTAACTTCCTATACGCCCTGTTCGCAATCGCTGTGGGAATGGGGGATGTGGCCCGGTCTATCAGTGCCCTACAGAATCGCCGTTGTAATGACTTTTCGGGGGCCTTCTGACGATATCCATAAAGATCCTTTCATTGCTTTCGACTGTTGTGGACTCGCTGGAAAGTATCGGCCGCTGAAAACTGCGATATTAACGAACGTGGCAGGGAACTCGAAATTATTGTATTATTTCAATTTCCTGCGTCACTCGGCGAACATTTGCTACTTAACCGATCTTCTATCCTTCCTGAATGCCATTCATAATTATCGAAGCATTATCTTGGCATTCTCGTCGAGCAGGTACTCGAGGTTGTTTTCGAAGAAGCTCGAGATAATTCGCGATGAAAGGTAACGAGAGAGGGTCGGAAGACTCAAGGGTGTCATTGTTCGCAGATGGTGTACGAGGCGGTGCGAGACATAGCGGCCGGTGAAGAGCTGTTTCTCGGTGTTCGAGAACCTCTTCAATTGCAGGATATGTTTGGCGAGAATACTACAGAGGACAGAAGCGATCGAGAGACCGGTGAGTATCGAATGCGTGATGCGATGCGATCTTTGCGAGAGAAGGGACGCGGGCTTTGCCGCTCTTTCGACGCGTTATCGCTGCCATTAACGTGCCTTTCTGCCGAATTGTTCCTCCAATCGACGATTTATTAGCCTGCGAACCGGTTACTTCGTTCGAACAATGAAATAACAATAACACGGGCTCGTTGGAAATTTGTTCTTCGAAGTTGGGAGGCAAGATCGATCGGGAGCCGGAGCGACTGTTCGCCAACTGACGTGACACGGCGGAAACGAACGCGGGGCGAACGAACAGATAATCAAACCCATTAAAATATCGCCGATCGTCGAACAGGCGGGGCAAGCTGGCTTTACGACTTCTCGGGCCGATACACATCGTAACTCGTGGCACACTTGCGCAGGATCGCGCGCAAAAGTGGAAAGGACGATGAGGGAGGGCAGGTGTCTTCGGAAAGCGGAATTGCCGCTGTGATGCGAGGGAGGCCAGAGGGTAAATCGTGAATCGTTGACTGCACGAGCTGCTCGTCATGCACCCGTGATTCTGGCGTGATTCACCTGGTCGGCCGTTGCGTATTAACCCCCTTTTATCGTAATAAGCGCTGATTATCGCGAGATAGACGTACTCGTGCCGCGTGTTGACCTCGCCTCGTGTGGTGTTACTTCAAATTTCACATTTAAATCGTCCAACTGCGCCTCAATTTTTATAGAGGGAAGAAAAAAAAAAACGTTGCAAATTCAGCAGCGAGAGGGAAACTTTCGTTCTCCCGTTGCCGCCATTTGTCTTCGACTTTCATTAGGTGAAGCGCGGGAAATATATTCGCGACGTTTGCGAAGAGGGGTTGCCACCTAGATGCCTGGCTGCTCGACAATTATCTGGTTGTAACTCGTGCGCGATGGTCAGGATCCGGATGCCAGGCAGAGATTAAAGGGGGTTATACGCGACACGCAGATGTCGCGGTAATTAAAAGCAGGATTATTATGAAAGTTGGAGGCGGCGCGGTGTCTACGGTTAATTCGCCGGCGATTTTTCCCCGTAATTTCGCCGACTCGTAAACGTCTTCTCCGAGGACAGAAGACACGGAGCGCAGCCGACTGGTTCTTAATTAAATCGGTCTCACCCTCGTGCCAATTAAAATTTCGAAGATTTCGACCCACTTTCTGTGTTCTCTGCTTGATATAAATTGTCTGCGAAAGAAAGGGAAGCGAATTTCTTCCGTCGCCAACACCGGTCTCGATTCCGGTTTGTTTATTTGTTATTGCAGAAGTTTGGTCAGAGAGTCGAAAATTGAAAAGTACTTGTAACAAAACAGTGCAAGTCCACTTAATCTTCAACTGGCGAATGCAGAGTCCCATAGTAATTAATCTAATTTCTAGTGATTATCGATTGAATTATCGAAGAATTATATGTATTACAAAATTATATTACTATTATTATTATTAATATCATATTAATTATTTATTATTTATACGATCGAATTTCAGTAACTCAAATATTAAAAAGAGGGAGTCCTTCGTGAATTTAATAAACGAAAATTCGATCTTCAGGCTATTTTAAATTCATTTTTCGACTTAAGAAAGCGTAAAAGAGATTTCAATTATTACGTTTCAGTAATGGATCAATGTTATATAAGTAACGTTTTCTTTAAAAAAATTTTCAGTCGATTCTTTTCAAATTATTAGGGTTATTATTACGTTTATGAAAAGAAATTCCAAGAAATTTTATTTTTATAAAATTGAATGAAATTAAAATATGACGAATTATTGCTTGATTCTTGATGAATTAAATTAAAAGTAAAACAATACAAAATAGAAATAATCGAATATTAATAGTGCGGGTTATAAATACACGATTAATAGAGGAAAAGTAACTGTATTCGCTGGTCGATAATTACATTTTTCTTCAATCGTTAATCGTTCAATGATACACGATTTCTATGTAGTATTGCACATGCTGCTCGTGTTTTTCTCCCCTCAAGGATCGTAATAATCTAAAAACGACTATCACCCATAGAACACGGAAAAATGTACAGCTTTATCGTCGTTAATCCGACGATGCCATTTTCACGAGAAATCCCTGACAATCTGGTGCGTGCAGCGAGAATAATGATGTCAAACAAACGGCGTACACCCCGTGGCAACCCTTGCGAGGGACATCTCTGCTCCGTCTCCCTTGAGCGGATCATTTTTTTCACTGGTGCAGAGGGATGCGAAGGGAATCGCTTTAACGCGACTGCATGGGGGCGCGACTATGCATAGAACCGCATTAAAACGGCGACAAAATCTCCTTTATGCGTTTGAAAAACAGTTTGGAAAACAGTTTCCTTTTTTCCTTCCTTTTTTTTTTTTTTTTTTTTTTTTTTAACACGATTCGTCTGCGTCACGAAAAAAATATACCGATATATTCGGGCAAGCTCTCGGGCATATACCGGTTTTATTTGCGCTCGATTGTTCTCGTCGTCTCTGGGCGATCAAAGCGGCAAACCGGTACGTTCGCGAACGAAACGCATTCTCGATAGGTAGTTACGGGTACGCGTTGATCCTTCGTCGAATGACGAGCGATAGGACGTTTTTATGATGGCGAGACAGGCGTATTTTTTTGCGACGATTCGGTAAACCACGCTCGCGCACGAGGCGTATATCGTGTATATCGTCGGGCATAGATGCAACTGGCGGCAGCAGTTAACGGTGAGTTATGGTTTTGATTTTTCGCGGCGCCCGATTTTCCTTGCCTCCCTCCCCTCTCCTCTGTCGCCTCGTGCTCATTTTCCCCGCCACTTTTCGTTCCAGCCACGAGATGCATCTCTTTTCCTCCCTGGATGGCTCTATTTAGGGTCGTGGATAATTTATGGCCTGGTATTGTCGATTAACACGCGCGTAACCTGGTCTCATGGCTGACAGAGGAAAAAAAGAAAGGGTATAGCTTAGAAAAAAAGAGGTATCCGCGCATAAAAGGGCACGCGATGCTGTTTTCGAAGGGGGTGGCACGCGCGCGCGCTCGCACGGAGGGCGAGTGAAAAGTGGTAGGTGACGACCCTATCTGATTCATCGAACTAATAATACGTCTCGTTTGACATTTCACTCGCGTTACACAATGTTCCTTGGAAAATAGCGGTTCTGGAATTCGCAAATTCGAATTACGAATCCCTTCTTCAAAAACTTGATTCCTTCGTTGGATCTTCGTGGTTCGCAGTGCTTGCGAAGGATTAGCATATTTTTAACTATGGGAGATGTTGGTTCCAATGTTTCGCTCGAATTCTTCAAGCCATCCACTTGATCCTGGTCCGTCACGATGCCACGGAAATATTGATTTCCGTTACTTTTTCCCATACAACCGCCAACTGACACGACTGCAGGGGGTGTTGCCAGTAGATCCCACCTGTTGACTTTCTACGACGTCACATTCTGCCAGTTTTTTTTTTTTTTTTCGTAACGTGCTTGACAACAAGGCACAATACCAATATCAGTAACACTCACTTTCTCTCAAAGAAATTGAGTATATTTTTACATGGTAAATGGAAGATTGACCTTATAGCTTGAGAATCAAGAGAGAGAAGGGGGCAACAAACAGCCAGATGTTATTCTAATTAGCAGTGATGTTACGAAATTCATTTTGATCGCTTTACGAGCGAAATTGCATAGGCAAAAATTGGACAGATGAATTTTATTTATACTAGACAACAAACTCGCTCACATAATTTGCGGAACATTTTTTAGTTTATAAGAATGTCACTCTGCTTGAACATCCATTTTACTAGCTAGATTTCTATCTTTTTCCAAAAATTAAGATAGTTAAAAGGATGCATTTTTCGTGATAGAAAGTTTGAAAACAAAAATGATGGAAATTTTTAGTAATGTTATAGAATTACTTCCAACATTAAAAGTATCGCACGCACTTGTGTGTGCAAATTCAAAAGGAAACTATCTTTAATCCATTAAGGAACAATGTTGCGTAAATGCAACATTTCATTTGTTTTTTTCTTGATCAATTCATTCATCAATTCTTCATTCCCGAATTTTTTCATTAATATCATGTTTATGAAAGTATTCACTTGTGTTATATTTTCTTGCCACTTTTCCATTCAGATCCTACAGTTTTATAATATTTTAAAAGATTAAAGTACTTTTGCTTGCTTCTTAATGGATTTAGATAATAATTGATTTTTTGAATTTGGTTAATGAAAAAAATTTTTTGTATAGAACCTGGTATATTAGAAACGTTTTATAACTATCCGTCATTAAAAATGAATTGAATTTGAATGAAATTCACGTAAAAAAAGTCTGAACGATAAAGATTCTCTAAAATATAATCAAAGAACGTTACACTCCTTTTATATGGATCATTATGAGGTTATATCTATTTTACCAGATACCATTTCTACATAAAACAAAGTTAAAGCTATGCTTTCGAATTGTAGTATCCAAGCAAACGAGCTAAAAAATTGACTTACGCTACTATTACATTAAACGATTCATATTGTGTATTCAAATTTAGCCTTTCACGGAACCTTGCCTTTGACATACTTTCTGTCTCTATATACTGTCTGTAGTCTATGAGATCATTTTTTGAAAGAACGGCGCACGACTTCGTTTAGCAAATCGCGAGATCGACCACATTCTTCATTGTTTAAATTCACGGCGTGCCGTTTCAAATTAGTCGTGGATGGAGGAACTATTAACGTTCTATGGGGGGGTTGGATGCGTGGTGAAGGGCGTAGTTGGTGGCGTAGGGGCTGTGCCCGGTTCCCATGAAGGTCCGTTGGGGGCCATCGCATGACCATATGGTTGGGACAAGTGTAGCGGCAGATTTAAATAACCGTTAGTGGACGAGTATCGTTTCGACTTTGCCATTCACCTGGCTAATAGTCGATCAACGAACATCGATTGGCTAATTACGTTTTCAACGAGTCCACGGCTAGCTTCGACATTGTGCCTAAATGTAATTGCTCTTCTACGTTTTTATATATACAAGATGAAGTTTTACATTTTACATTCTGCGAGATAAAATATTTTACTGAAGGTTTTATCGAAACAAAAAAAGAACTCAACGATTCAAACTATCAACAAATCGTACATTTTTTTTATTGTAATTTCATTAATTTACTATAAACTCATGAACATTACTCATGTTCAGTCAGGACATTAATATTATACGAATATGTTTAGAGCTCTCGTTATAATAAAATGCCAAACGAAAATATATATATATGGATTGCTAAAAAAATCATGCTAATAAATTGAAAACAGTTATAAATATAATTATAAGTTTTGTTGTTTCTAAATTTACCTCGAAATTTATCTGTAACAAATAGATTCATGAAAATAATCACTTTCCAAATCACGGTTTACTTTGGACAGATGAAAGTACGGATATAATCGAATATTTCCTGTGGATATTTTCCGTATGTATGTTTAAAAAGTTCATTTTCTTATTACCGGAGCTTTTGGAAGGAATATGCATACATCACCATGACCGTTGGATTGGCCTGGAATCTCCGTCATTAAAAATTACATACTGTCTTGTTCACGGACTCCTGATTTTACCTGCCGTTGCTTCTGTCAGTTGTCGGGGGTGAATAGAGGCCGCAGGGGGCAAACGAATCTCACCTGTGATTGGTTGGTCTGCGACCTCGCTATTACCAATAGGAAGCGGTTCCCGACACCCCGTTCGCGTTTTCAGTTGCAGAATAACGTGCTACTAGTTAACTGGTGCATCATTGTATCCATTGTCTTCGTTGACTGCGGCATCGTGACCGACTAACGACAGAAGAAGATACCTCGTAGTGACTGTGACGTGTTTCCTCGCATCTCTTCTTCATCCTTTTTGCATTCAAGGCGACGTGTTTAACGCGTTTAATTTGGTATTTTTTATTCGAACTTTTGAAAAGAAATCGCATCGTCAATTTTTGATTGAAATGATTAAAAAAGAAAGAAAGAAAACGAAGCAGCAGCATTATAATTATTAGGTCATCCTATAAGTAATACGGTTGTTGGTTTTCTTACATTGGACCAAAACAGGAAATTGGCTAATGAAGAATTCATTATTTTTAGAATTCTTCCTGTATCGAGTTTTCTATTCCAAATCCGATTATTTCAAACGTAACTCTCATAAAAACCGTATTATTTATAGAATAACAACACAATTTTACAAAGGCAGTGTTTCGTCGCTTCTGACGTAAAACGAAAGAACGTGACGCAGACGAACAAATGAACGCGTCCGCAGGATGCTCGTGGACAGGGCGAGTTCTTCGGCGGATAGATAAAACGATAGTGCTGGTTTGATTTAATAATTCAGGAACAATCCCGGCGTCCACTTGTCACGCCATTCTCTGCTGGCTCCCCGCGCGCTTCTCGATCACGTAATTCGCCCACAACAGGACGGGTCACGTATCATCGTTCTCGGGGGTGTAATTTATAGAGCCGCAGCCCGTCACAAAGTGGAACGGAATTATGACTTCCATCCTATCTCCGTTTCTCTTTCTGTCGTTTCACGTGTCTTTTCTTTTCTTGTGCTTGCAGCCTCGCAACATAGTGGCACCGTAGACGAGGATAAAGAGGACGAGGAGGAAGGTGAGACCAGGTGTCCCGTCTGCGACAAACCGTTTCAAGACATTGAACTGTAAGTATTTTCCAGAGTCGTACATTTAATCTTGATAAACTTCTTTGTTGAGTTAATGACTAATTCAGTCTTAAGGATCGAGCAATGGTTTCTCACAAAGTTAAATAAATTCCTTCAATTCCTTTAAATTTCCCGAAATTGCAAAATACAAATGAAATAAATATTACGCAAATCTTTGACATTCTTTTTCATAGCCACCATGTTAAAGAACAGAATTCGATAATAATTGAACAAAAGTATAAATGAAATATTGCATCAACGTAATTTATAATAATAATTAAGCCCAATTATAATAATATCTATCAACATACAATCATTTTATTTGAAGAAAGTCATTGAAACTTGAAATTCAAATTGTTTCGTCCTCGATCCTCTCGAATTTTGATCGACGAGTAACAGATTCATTATGTTATTTAAGCCGAGAAATCACCGTAAAATCAACGATACAAAGCTTATGAAGAATTCATAATTCGTATGCTCTTAAAATCAGATCTTCGACAATTGTCCCCTCTAACGTCACACTGGTAACGAATTATCCGCGACTAGGGTTGATGTATACTCCTCGTAAAAATGTATTTCTATTGTCTGAATGCTGATCAGTATATTGATACTAAATACAAACAGCCAAATTTTCGTATGTAACATTAATGCTCAAACGAAACAATAGATCGAACATTCGGGTAATCGTTCGATCGTCTGATTTGAATGATAAGTTATTCATTAATCGACAAAATACAGGAACGAGAGGCGTGTTATCCACTCGAAATCTGAACGTTAGCCGCGCACTGTGCGGAAAGAGGGACCCCCGAGCACGCGAGCCATTTCGAGGGCTGCCTTCAGAATTACGATGGCTTTTTCAGGGGTTGACGCTGTTTGCGTAGCGTCATTAAACGAAAAGTCAAATACTTAACCAATGCGATCGTCGTATGAGTTATTTGCTTTCGAGTTTCTTCCCACGATGCATAAGTCCAAAGTGAAAGGGGTGTTGTTCTAACTACCTTACACAGATTGCTGCCTTCTAATTGAAAATAAATACTCTTATTTTCTTGCATTAGCAAATATGTACTCCAATACTTAATTCATAGGCGTCTTTGTTGGACGAACATTATTCGTTTTCGCAATCAAGTTGGCGAAAAGTTTTTCAACGTTGCATAACCACGGTATTGTTGGTCCAATTTCGGACATCTATTTCGGCCGGTTCCGGCATCTGTTTCCCGGTTCGGCGACAGACCGCGACACCAGCCGCTTCCGTGAACCTCGGCTCGGCAGAGTCACCTGTTGTGGCACATAAAGTACGCGCGAGATCCGCATTTGGTTGCATCGAGCCACCCCCTTATGCATCATCGAAGGCGTCGCGTGCCCGCAGCTCATCTGGCACAGCGCACCGTCACCGTGAACCTACTATCTCACCACGAATAGGTTTCACGCGACACATGTGTTCGAGGGTGTAAAATCAATGCCGCCACCACACCATGGCACATCCTGTGACCATAACCCGTGGCCAGCTCGCGACACCCCGCTCTTGCAACGAGCGTTGTTCGTGTTGAACCTCACCACCATCAACATTGTCGCGACTCTTTCACTCTCTCCCTCTCTCCATCTCTCTTCGTTTCTTTGTATATATACGATGACCACCCTCTTCCTTCGGGGGCGTGTGACCGTTATTACGCGAGAGCTTGTCCGCTGCCGCGCTACCGGAGTCACTTAGTCATCATCCTCGACTGCACCGAGCGCAGTCTTCGTCGGTGCGCTGCCCCGGATCGATTATATCTGAGGTTTCTTGCTCGACCCGCTCCGAGATTTCGACCCGATTACACTCGAGTTTCTAGGGCTTTTTGCCGACAACAGAGTGCCGTTCTTTTGGACGGGCTTGTCATTCTTGAATATTGAATTTAAGGGTTGATTTGCTCGATTGTTAGAACGAGGATGTAACGTACGAGGTTCGGTGTAAAATTTTAGTAAGAGATATCTGAATGTAGTGACGTATTCCCCTTGAAAGTTCTTGATATTTTCCTTTCAGGTTGGATAGTCACGTGGTTACCTGTCACAGATATCCAGCGGAACAGCATCGCTGCGACAGCTGTCCTCGTGCGTACGCCTGGCGGCCACTGCTGGTTCGTCATCGTGCGATCGTTCATGGTGATCTCCGGAACTACCCCTGCGAGAACTGTCCAAAGGTAAGCATCACCTTCGACAACGTCGCGACAAAGTACGACACGTTCCTCCTCGGAGTAACATCTTCAAAGTTTCGCTAACAGTCGGACAAACCGCAGGTCTTCACGGACCCGTCGAATCTGCAGCGACACATCAGGACCCATCACGTGGGTGCGAGGAGCCACGCGTGCACCGAGTGCGGGAAGACGTTCGCCACCAGCTCCGGCCTTAAGCAGCACACCCATATCCACAGCAGCGTGAAGCCGTTCCAGTGCGAGGTGTGCTTCAAAGCGTACACTCAGTTCTCAAATTTATGCCGACACAAACGCATGCACGCGGATTGCCGTATGCAGATCAAGTGCGTTAAATGCGGACAGTCGTTCAGCACGGTCACTTCGTTATCAAAGCATAAGAGATTCTGCGATTCAACGCCGCCGACCGGTCCACCTGGTACGATGCCGCAATTACCGACTCCGGCACCTAGCCCATTTCTTGTCTATCCTAGACCTCCTGTCAGTCTCCCGGGAGGTTTGCCTTTCTACCCGCCTAGTCTAATGGGGCCGTATCCAGGGATTTTTCCAAATGCGTCCAATTTCTTGAACACTCCTCTTCTGTTCCCGCATAAAGTTGAGGAAGCTGAGAAGAGGTGCGACAGTCCAAAGAAGGAACGCTTCACTCCGCCGAGGGTTCTGCCGCAACATAGCAAGATATCACCCTCAACGGCCGAGGAAGCTACGTCCTCCTTCAGACCATCCCCGGCTAGGCCACCCGTTCAACCAACCCCGGAGAGCGACGACGATCCTTCCAAGAAACGGGAGAAAGACAGGAGCAATGAGAAGAAGGCAGATCCTGAAAATGTATCGAAAACTACGAACGAAGAAACAACGGATCAACCTTTGGATCTGAGAGTGCAAACAAAGAAACAACGAACGAATGTGAATGTTACCAACAGAAAGAGCCCATCGCCAGCGCCAGCACCGATGGAGGAAGTTCCAGTTCCTCTGGATCCTCCGAAACCCGAGGAAGAGACGTCCATGCTAATGGAAGTCGATTCCAAGGACATGGCCAGAAGTCCTCAATTAAAAATTAGTTTACCCGCAGAACAACCGCCAACTAGTACACCGCACATGGCGTATCCCAGACCGATTCATCCGATGTTTTTGGAGGCCATGTACCGCGGGCCAACGAGTTCTTTCCCAGGATTTCCAGGTGGACCACCGCCTCCTGGAAGTGGAACGGAACCGAGACTCTTGCCTCCGCTACCACCGTTCGGGACACCGCGTGGACTTCCTTTTTTAGGAACACTCATGAACGGGCTCAGCGGCGCTAGGCCAGGAAGCGGGGGATTCGACCTGCTTGCTAGGCCGCCACTGGGACCGTTCCCTGGCGTGAAACCCTTCCAGGACACCGTGATTCCACCTCATCATCATCACCATCATCATCACGCTCACGGCAAAATGAAAGACCGATATTCCTGCAAGTTCTGCGGGAAGGTATTCCCCAGATCCGCCAATTTGACGAGACATTTACGCACACACACCGGCGAACAACCTTACAAATGCAAGTACTGCGAACGATCGTTTAGCATCTCTAGTAATCTTCAGCGGCACGTGAGGAATATCCACGACAAGCAGAGGCCGTTCAAGTGTCCACTCTGCGAGAGGTGTTTTGGCCAACAGACGAATTTAGACAGACATTTGAAGAAACACGAAGCCGACGACGGCAGTGGCGTTGTTTCCGTCGCGGATTCACCAGGGAGCAGTAATGAAAATGAACGGGAGGATACGTATTTCGACGAAATTAGGTCGTTCATGGGGAAGGTGACTTACGGCGGTGAGGCTGGCTACGGATTACCCCCTCACCCGGCCTATTTGCCCAGTAGATTGCACGAGATACACGAGTCCAAGATGGAAACCGAGTACGACGAAGACGAGGATAGCGAGGAAGGAGTCTCTCCTCTGGATGAAGCGGATGGCTTGTCGCCTGCAGAAGCCAAAGAATCGACTCCACCACCGCAGTATGATCTGAAGCTGAGGGAGAAGCAGGAATTGCTTAACAATAACACGGCCGAGCCAGTTATTGAAATTTCGACATAGCCCATAGATCGGATGGCTTGAAAAAGATGGAAATCGTTCGCGGAAATGCTGTTTTAGTGAAGCGCATAGGACTGCTACGGACGTGTTCATCTCGATGTAACTCTTATAACCGTAGAAAAATTCGAATCGATCGTGTTTCTAAATAACTGGCAATGAAAAGAGTGTTGGTTTGAGAATTTCGTCGTTGACACGAAATGATTTCTTCGAAGTTGAACTTTCTACGGGGGACGCGATAAGAACAAAAACATGTTAAAAACTGTAAAGAAAAGTGCGTTTATGGTAATTCGCAAACATTCTCCTATCCGGTGAGCTTTTGTTTTCCAAGTTTCTATTTTTTTGCACCGCAAGAGTGAGAACAAAAGAAAGCGAACGAAATTCACTATCTTTTATCATACACGTACAAACACATACACACATCTACACTCTTACATATACACATGTTCATATTCGTTACGGACAAGCTGTTCAATAGCGTAGTTCCTACATGCTTTTCATTGCGCACGTAATTGATAATCGTTCGAATATCCATTTTTTCCTTGACGACTTGGAAATCTTGATTCAAGTATCTAAAACTCGATATCCCCTCCTTTAGTGTTATTTAGTGCGCGTGAAGCGATTCAAAAATATCGGAGCCGGGAGAAGAGTAAGCATCAACGTTTTTATTTTCGTTTCTTAGAGTGTAGTTCGATTGTTGCAATTCTCAATGGAAGAATGAAATTGAGGGAACTTCGTCAAGTTCGTACTTAAATAGATAGGCAAATACGTGGATATGTTCTTGGATGATGCGAAGCCAAAGCGACGAGGACGATAATTAGCGAAACAAGCGTGTAATTAAAAGAATACTGTTTTATGAGAATCAGTGTACAAATTTCTATTAAATAATTTAATGTTTGTAAAAAAGAAAAAAGAATGCAGAAGTTCTCCGTGATTTTTAATATATATATATTATAAATATACAGTCAAGAGCATAATTGTTAATAATACGAAACGAATAATTGCACTAACAATATTGAAAAATCGATAATTTAAACTCATATAACTTTGTAAAGAAAGATCATATAGTTGAAAATCGATTAGTCGATATTCTTTTAAAATATAAAGTTTCTACTTTGACAGTTCGTTTTTTTTTTTTTGAAAATGATTTTGCATTATGAAGTGGATAGGAAACTGGGGATATTTCTTTTTCGAAAATTTAGTTTCAATTTAAATTTAGTTTCAGTAGATCGTTATATAATTCTATTGATACAATTATGCTCTTCACTGTACATATGCATATATTATAAATATGAATGCGATCATGTCGATTTATTTTGACATAGATTACGAGACGTACACTTTATAGAGGCGTACAATTGTTACATTTATTTTTATTATTTGGAAAGTTAATAAAAAAGATTACGCGTGTGCTCATCCCATTCTCGATGTTCAAGAATGTTCAGAAAGATGTGAAACTTTTGAATTTTGTACAGATGCAGGCGTGTATGAAAACGTAAAGAAAAAGATCCCGAGAAAGAAAGATCTCGATTCTCTTCTTCTTTTTATCATTCCCAGACAATGTTTGTGAATAGCATTTTGATAATGGCGTTAACAACATAGAAATCTTGTTTTTTTTTCACGTAAGAATTTACGGATACGTGTTCTACATATCTCTCTTTTTATCCTTCTCTTTGACTAATAGTTGATAACAAACTTGATTAAGCAACAAATTGATTAAGCATACTTATGTCGATCATACTAATTAAGAGCGATTATATTATGACTCTATCTATACATATTGTATAAAAGCATCCTGTAACTTCATTATAATTACTATTAAAATATTACACTTCAATTATGATGACTACTATTATTTCATTGATTACCTAATAGTTCTTTTTAAAAGAACTTTCAAAAGATTAAAAGTTGATCTTCAGAAGAAGATACTAGAAATGATATGAAAATTCTACTTAAATTCTTAACGACATCGTCTTTGACTAATCTCTGATTATTAATTATAATTAAATTATTAATACAAATTTTTCAAGTGCAGTATATGTTTGTACTCAGAAATTAACATTTATAGTGTACTAAATACTAATTACAGTATATTGCAAAAATAATTAATAGAACACTTGAATGTTGAAATTGTTTATCCGTTTCACTGAGGAAATATATGTATATATCTTTTCTTTGATCAAAAAAATGTATCTATTATTTCAATTTCACGCGCGTCAAAGTTGCGCGCGCAGAAATGTGAACCAATTGAGTCTTAACCAATCAGAAAACAGCTAGGCGAAATCGTGCGCGGAAAATTTAAGAATCGTAGCATCCAAATTGTTTTTACCTGATGTGAGATATATTTTTTCAAAATACTTTAAATGCTATTCTAATATTTATAGATCACATAATCAACATTTAACTAAAATCTGTTATTTTCTTGTCTGCAAATCATTGATTGATTAAAGAAATTATACTGAAAGAAGATTAATAGACATGATAATCACTGATTGAATTGATGATTCTTCGATCGCTCAATATATTCTCATACATACATATGCATATGAAAATATTAATCTGAATCATTTCTTTTACTAAACAGTTGCCTTATATACTAGACATATCTCACAGTATATAATTAACAATTTGTACATTGTCAGTCAGAAACAATCATATAGCTTAAGTTTAATTTAATGAAAGACTCAAAAATTAGACCAGTCAGAAGGACAGGAATCACTTTTTTAATTCTATTGAATTATTTATTTATTCGTAATATAAAGGTTATATTACGCACATTTTTACTTAAGGTTATACGCAGCTCTCATATATTGTTATTATACTTCAGGATTACTTATCCATAGAATTATAACTTTTTAGCATTCTCAAATGTTTACATATATCTCGGATTTAAATATTTGAGAATGCTAGAAAAAAGATAAAATTCTTTGGATAATCAATCCTGAAGCTAACATAAGAACAATATAATATAAAAGCCGTGTATGTAACCGTAAATTAAAATTAGACATATCTCATGTTTTAATTTATTATTATGAAGTCTGATAATGTTTCATAACATAATACTTTTTCATTGATAAAAATAAACAATAATTAGTTATAAAATTAGTTTAAAAAATGGGATTTTTGAATAAAAGCTCACTGACAATGAGTAAAATAAATAAAAGGAATGAAAGTATTTCACTTCTTTCTTGCCATAACACTACGCCTTCTGCCCTGTCTCTTCAGTAACAAAGCTTCTCTTTCAGTATATTTATGACCACACATAATGCGATCAATAGAGTTAATGTTTGCTAAATAAATTTATTTGCAGTATTTTTTTAGGGCACAGTAACTTTTAATACCTGTGAATTCACTTTTATACTGTGAATTCACTTAATATACGTATTACTAAAATATTGTCTGCTGATGACATTTCGAATGTGTAATTTGATGAAAATAAAATAATTTTTTATTGTAATATTTTCCTTAACTAAGATGAAATTTCGAAATCATCTTGAGATCTTCATATAGTATATCGCAGAATTCGAATATGATTCGCTTTAAGAAGTAAAATTCACTTTCAGATTTTTTCGAAATTTTTTGAAATTCTTTATATTGCAGTTTGCATCCGATTGAATAGTGATTAATTTTTATTCTGATCATATGTTCCACAATAATCGAAAGTGTTTGAAATATCATGGTGTCTATCAGATAGTATAATACAATTATGAATTATAAATAATATAAGTTGATCAACTGCAATTTTTATATACTTAAAAAGTCAATTAATTTGTTGGATTTTTTATCTTATTGATTCGATATTCAAGAAATAGAAAGAATTCCTTATATTTAGGTAATATCTTGTAATACCATGAAATTTTCAATTGTCAGTTGTTACATATTCCGAATATATTATATTGAATTTGAAACATATCATTATGCGAATAAATTAATTGAGATTATATTATACAATTTAATGTAATTTCCAATTTCAATGTTATGTGCATTCATTTTTAAGTGTTTTTATAATATTATTATTCATATTAAAATTAATAACGATATTAAATAATTATAAGAACAATATACCATTTTATATTTTATGATTTTAAATTTAGTGTAAATTTACAAAATTCATAAATATTAATATAAAATAGTTATTCCCCATCGACAAAATTTTCTATTTCTATACTTATAACTGTAATCTAATAAATTTTCTAATAATCGGTTATATTATTTGATATATAATTTATAACATAATTGTATCACGTGTTACTAATTGTAAGCATATACATAGTTGCATGCATGCTTGTACTATAACCTTAAAATGTCAAAGAACATAACCTTAAATATGTACCAGAATTTTCGTATTAAACTCGAGTTCTATAAATACTATAATGATGTACACCGTTTTTGTTGGATTTTTATCGATTGCACAAAGATATTATAAATTCATGATATGAAAAAACATATTAAAAAACTGTTTGGTATTAATGATCCTTTTAACTTGTTCTTAAATGAAAATAAATATTTACCACCTAAAGAAAACATACGTGTTCTAAAAGAGAATGAAATTATTTTGTAAGAATTCTTGCAACAAAAATGTTAAACTACTATTTCTTGCAACAAAAATAAACTACTACTATTATGTCAACCAATATGTTTCAGGGTTTCTCCTAGATCTCGCTTAAGTAATAATTAATTTAATAATTTACCTTTAAATATTGAATTTTCATCAATAGATGCAAACAAGCAGGAAGTAGAAGATAATTCTGCATTCAGAACAAATTGAAGAATTAATTTTGCCATCAGGTGAGAATTTATCACAACAAGAACAATTGTCAATTAATTTTCCTGCAGCATTATCAAGCCAACTGAATTTATTAACTGACAAAACAAGTAACTTTCAAAATGGTGAAGAAAGTAAGAAAAATGAAATATAATTGAATTAAATATCTGATGCTACCATGTCTTTTATTTCTTGTAACAACATTGTATTTTTTTAGTGTATGATACTACTGCAAATACAGAAATTCTTAGCACATTTCCAAAGAGAGAACATGTAAGGTGTCAAAAGAAAAAGACAAAAGTTATTACAAATTTTCAGAGAAAACAAACCTACAAAATCCAAACAGAAAACAAACGTGCGAAATCGAAACAGATTACAAATTCCATTATTTCCAACATTATTTCTTCTTGCAAATATGTTGGTTTTGATATAGTAGATGATAAAATTGTGATAAACCAAGTTATATGTCCAAATGTAGTTAATACTATTCATAAACTTGAAAATATATTATCTTTGATTAAAAGCCATTCCGTTTACTGTTAAATACCATAAGATAAAGATAAAAAAGAGAGAGAGGAAAAAAATAGCACTGAGGGCACTGAAATCAATACAGTTTCTAAAAATATTAATGAAAGTATAACTTCAATAGAGATTGGAAGAAGTAAACAAGTTTTTGGGTATAGATTTTGAAATGTATGAAGTTATGATAGTGAGATCAAAAATTAAAGATATTGTAGTGTTCAAGGTATTTTTTGAAATCTTAGTCATTATTATGGCTTTACATAAGATTCATTTTTAGATCCTCAAAGTTGGAACAGATTACATGCCACAAATGTCGAATTTTATTGTGGCAGAATAAAACTCAAAAATATTGCATATGTAATTTTATAGAATTAATCCACATCGAATGCATATCTATATATTTTTTTCATTAATTATGATGTAATGTTTCTGTATGCAGAAGGTATGTCAGAAGTACAGGTGCCAGTTGGAAAATTTACAATTATTGAAGAGATAGAAGAACGTGTGTTGAATGATATAATTACATTACATTATGCAAAAATGATAAAACCTAGACTTGTATCTAATTCAGATAAAGCGATTAGTTTCCTAAATTAAATATTGCTTATATAATTAATAATTTTACATATATTTTTATATATTTTAAATTTAATATGTCTTTGAAAAAAATTAAATATATCCATAGTCAGAAAAATTAAATATATCGCAGTAATATTGATATTGATCGAGTAATGTTGATATTGATATAAATAACAAAATTTATAAGAATTACCTTTTCCTTGATGCTTAGTACAGAATTGATGCAAACATTAATCGATTATGCTGTAGTTCTTACACAATTCACTTGAAATTCACTTGAACTTCACTTGTTCTTATCTTGTTCTTAACAACGCGGATCAATTTCGTTAATTTTAATTAGTCGGAATAATTAACGTCAAATTAATAACGAAGAAACTAGTAAATGTAACGTAATAATGTCGACATAATTTCATCGCAGCATTATATTCACAAGTGTTCACATCTATTTTCGAGTAAAGTTTCACTATTTACCAAAATTTGTTACTAAACATTCTAACATCAATTCAGAAATAAAAGGTTCCCATATTCTCTCTTTTTTATTCGTTTTATTGACATATTTAGTTTATTTTTTCGAACTAAATCCGTCTTGTTCAAAAAATTAAAACAACTGCGCGCGCAGATGCATAGCTCAAACCTTTGTCTCTAATATTACTCTGATTGGTCAATGCGAATTTGTTCTACCAATGAGATTTGAATATGAATCAATTGAGCAGCCTTAGAATTTCACGCGTTTTCATTATTTTTTATGGAAATACATATATTTATGTAGAATATTTTGTATTAAAAAAGAATATATCGCATAATTATAGAAGAAAATATATAGATTGCTCATTACAAATTAATGAAGAAGACAATCGATAAAATTGAATTAAATAAATTTTTTAATAATATTCAACCTAGAAAATGTTAACAAATGACTCGTTGAAAATTTAATTGGAAAATTCTTTAAAATTTCAATTTAATTAACGACTAACTAGTTTTTTGATGATTTTGATTAGCAATTAAATTTGCTTTAGCATTTTCGACTCAGCAGATCGCTTTATCGTCGTATCATTCGTATCGCTTTCGGTTGCACGATTAATAATCCATACCTAGAGAAAATTATATCATTGTACGGAATTCTTAATATACTTTTATTAACCGCCTTTGTTCTTTGTAACTAAACAATTAGAAGCCCTAGCTTCGAATAAACTTCTATAATTTACAGTGAAATTCCTAATCTTGTCCCTACCTCTGTCTCTTCCTTTGTTTTTATCCTTTTTCTCCTATTAGTCATGTGCTAAATAAAACGATGAAAATTAAATTTCGTAATTAAAATCAGTTGTACGATTTTTTTTTCCTCATTTTATTGAATTCATCATTTTTTTAAGGATGGAATTATTACAAATGTTAAGATTTTTAAAATTGTTGTTATTCAGTTCCTAATGTTTAAAATTCAATAAAAATGGCGAAAAAATCGTACAGCTAGTTTTAAAGAACTCACTGTAAAGAGAAGATTTTTAAGATCACGATTGGTCTGATCATGAAAAAGAATCGTTCAGTGATGGAAAAACTTCGGCGAAAAAGTTTTACAATTTTTGACAAGAAATACTTGCTGCGTGATGTAAAAATAAATCTTTGAACGAAACAAACTCAAGATTGTTTAGTCTTTTGTAAAGCAGAAACTTTACACTTTAAAATAAAATCAAGGTAATTGTTCTACATTTCTTTTACATTTTTTTTTTTCACAGAATTACAATTTAAAATATTAAGTAGAAGAATTAGATCAATATTAGTACGAAAGTTAGTTTGTACTTTTTGAAGAATTTTTCCTGAATTTTAGAAATCTGTACAATTAATGTGCATAATATTTAAGTTCTAGAAGATAATTATATACGTATACGAGTTTTATTATGCACAAACTTTATTATATGTTTGTATTTCTATTTACTTTTATTAACTTCGCAATGTGTAATTTTCAACAATTTTATATTAAATTCAATAATAATTTATTAAAAATGTACGTATTTAATAGTTAAAATAATAATTATTCAATAAATACTTTATAATTTACAACTAATACCTTTAATTTTCATATTCAAGTTTCTTTATAATCATGTTCTAGAAAAATAGCAATATTTTATAAATGAACGTATTCTTCGTCCTCTCCCTACTGATTAGCTTTATTTTCAGAAAATTTTTGTAATCGCGAACAATGCGGTTGATAGAGTCAGTATTTGTTGCGAAATATTTTTATATTTTTCTGAGCAAAATGGTTTTCATTAAATTAAATAATCAATTCATTTAAATTATAATTCGTGAAGTTAGAGTCAGTGAGTCCACCGATTGTTACTTAAACGCGCACTTTTATTTTCCTTTTCTTACATTTTCTTTTGTTCAATATTCGTTTTTGCTTAGATTCAATGCTCAAGAGGATAAGGAGATCACGACAGTAAATAGTTTTATTTATATCTCAATTTATTAGTCTTTCAAATTTAATAACAAAGTATAATATCTGATGTTCGTTAGACAGACACCTCACAGCATTAAATTTTTTCAATTTTGTGGAGAAATCCAACGATGGCTCCAAAGCCAAGAATGTAAGAATCTTTCAAAATTTCCAACTTAAGATTTTGCATTCTTTTTAAATACAAAATTCTAATATTTTATGTTTTGTTACAGATTTTCTAAAATCCCCTTGTCCTTTAAGAATCTTGACGATGCTTCAAAAACTAAAACTGTAAGTACAAATGTAATTTTAGCACATTGTACTTGAATTAATTCTACACTCTATAGTTTTCTTTTTAATAAAATTAAGTGTAAAATTAAAATTATAAAATGAAAACATTTGAAAATATTACAGTCCCAGTTTTATCATTATTAAAATTTTCACAAATAACTCTGTGTCCTTATGTTTTTCAAGAAAATTTTCACGGCATTCACTTCTATCACGGGATTCTCAGTGATATATACTTGATGATGTTTTTTACGACGACTTTCCTTAGTCCAGAGCAAATGATATCATTCTTCGCTGGTGAGTCGCATGCATTTATGTCTCTCTGCTTATTACAACAATGTCGCAGGACGAAAGGGCCGAATCGGCACGGGAGATTGGTTGCATACGTAGAATTCTCGATGAGCACAGTGAATGCGAATATTTTTTATATCCGTGAGTATTAATATTTTTAGGTATTAATATTTTTTTAGGTTTTTTGTGTATTAAATCAGGATAGGGCTTCTTGCACATCGCGACATTAACAATTAGTTTGAATATATACAGTTACAGCAAGTATTTGTAGGATTAAAATATACTTAATATAAATGTTTGCGAAAGAAACTTAAAGCTAAGGCGCACGCATCCCACGATGTCCCTGCGAGATCCCTCGTTGTCCCTCGGTGCCCCGCTGGGGTGTCTAATATTTTACTTATCAACTAATTGCCCTACAGTTCAATTTAGATCTCAACTGAACTGTAGGTTGCGTAGCTCTTAGCTTGATATCGTTCTACAAACTCAAAATTTATCTCACATCGTTTTACAATTTAGCCGGATAACGTTTTACAAATTGTAATGTTTGTAAAACGATATCAATTACCAGGTC